AAACGGTCATTGAATTTTTAGACAAGAATGTATTCAAGTTTTTAATTAGAGATTTGCTGAATTTGATGGTTGGTGTGTTCTAAGATTTTGTAATAAGTTAATACAATGCTGTAATATTTAATTATTTATTAAAATTATTAAAAATACTTTTTAAAACATATGTATAGGTTCGTGGTATTTTTTTTCGTATAAAAACCTTTTTCCATTACACCAAATGTTGATACATGTGAACGAATCTTGGAAATTTTTGAGGTAAGCGTCGTATTATGATTAGAAAAAATTGAATGCATGAAAAAAATGACTGCCATTTGAACCATATTATGGTGTATCAAAAAATGAAGAGAATAATCTAGATGATAATTTTGAGGATTATTTAGTATTTAAATCTTGATGCGTTAGAAATTATAGGAAATTATTATTGATTCTAATAAAGATATTATAGGCAATAATTCAGTTCAAGAAGAGATATTGTATGAGATCCCAATTAATTCACTTAATTTTTAAAAAACATAATTACGGCTCAAAATCGCTCTAAAATTACATTAATCATTAAAACATTTTATATAAAATATCTAAAATTGATAATTTTGCAAATATAAACAGAGATTATATACGTCACCTCCCGAAATTGAAGTATCAAACTTTTTAATTCTAAGAAGCGACCAGACCATAACCGTCATACGATAAATTTACATTCTAAATTCGGGAATGATATTCTTAAATTTCTAATTATTTATTTTAATTTGTCTCATAGTAAGAGTAAGAATAATAATTAAGTTCATACATGCATGTATATTTTTTATTATTTTTTTCAAAGGACTTTATTTTTTTTTTATTTTTCGAAAATAGCTTCCTAATATTTTTTTTATTTTTATCATAAAAATTTTTGTTGTTGCATTTATTTATTTATTTTTTTTTTTTTTCATATTATTATTCGAGAATTTATTGAGTGATGATATTATTATAGTTATTAAAGTTTAGCATTTCTCGAAGGAGATTATCTGGTCTAGAATTTGGATTTTATTATTAGCATTTATATATACTGTACTGTATTTTTCTCTTTGTATATAAGATGGCTGGCATTATATATATGTTCCTTTTTTTTTACCATTTACAAAATTTGATGAGAATTATTTTTCAAATATAAGAAAGTTTAAAAAAAAAATATTTTTCGTAAAAAAACAAAAAAAAAAATTAAATATATTTTTTGTAAATAACTTTCCATCACGAACATTACAAAGAATGACAAATGTGTGCTTCTTAGCAAAATAAATAAACAAATGCTTTATTTTATGAATGAAAAAGAATTTAAAGAGTCAATATTTCAATTCCACATGATTATATATAAATTTATAAAATAAATTTTTACTATAGACGACTGAATAAAGACGATATTCGAAATTATATAACGAAAATGTTTGTTTGTGTTTGTGTTTGCGAAAAATGATAATATAAAATTATATAACGAAAGTGTTTGTGTTGCGATAAAATGCATATGGAAAAAAGAAAATGGTATGATCGAAAATACCAAAATAAACGAAAAGGAAATTATTTGATAATGATAGTAAAGACACTTAGATCTAACTTAATAAAAATTTATTATTCGAAAAATAGGTATAAATTATTTTTCAAATTTAGACGAATCGCGGCTTAGATTTTATTCTTATATATTTGCTATGTTTATAAATAAGGGGGAGATTGCGTTAGTCGTTAAAGAAAAAATCAAATAAAACATATATATATATATGTAAATTACCACGTACTTTCATATTGTATATTTAGATAATAAATTTGAGAAAGGAAATTTTCATTAATGAGATTTTACTCTCTGCGCCAGATCACAGTATTCTGTCTTTTCTTGTTTTGTGGAAGTTTTCCATAAGTGATCCGTGACTTGACGTATAAGGTTAGCATTAAATTCTCCTATTCTCTTGCATTCCTTTGCAACAGAATATCTAAGTAACATATAGGCATGGCATCTGTTATGGTCGCGCATGGGCTTCTCAGAATTAGAATTGAGAAAGTTTAATACTTCCTCAATTTGGGGAGGTGGATGGACATAATTTCTGTTAAAGTTTACAAGTAATGTGTTCATATTTTTATAATCTTATAATTTTAGAGGAATTGAACGATATTTAAATTTTCGAAATCAGCGTCTTTATATAACTTATTTTTTACATTATAATAATAAAAAAACAATAATAGTAAAAATAAAATTCAAACCTTATAGTAAGCTGAGCCAGATGTCACATTAGTTAGCTGTTAGATCAATTTTTTTTTCGTATTGTAATAATCTCAGATGAAGTATTATAGAAAAAGAAAATAGCTGAGTAATCAAGAATCTCTTACATGCGATTCTTTTAAAATAGATATATTTTCATATTAAATTTTTTTTTTTGAAATAACACGGTTTAGAAATCGATATGTGCATTGGTTTATATTACTATTATTATTATTATAATATATATTATCTTTATTGTCTTTATTTATTTTATTTTATTTTATTTTTATACCTGGCCGCCACGTCTAAAAAGAATCTTAATCATATGATATCCTTTGTTCTTTAAAATTTTATTTTTTCGATAAAAAAAGGAAGAGGAAAAAAATTTTTTTTTTTTTTTGAAAGTAACATGGTATGTCCTCATTGGTTTATAATTATTTATTTATTTTAATTTTTATATTTATATTAATATTTTGCCGCCACGTCCAAAAAGATATCTATCACTGAAGACATGACTCTTAAACATATGATATTAGCGTAATTGCAGATAACTTTTCTTTTGTTCTTTAAATATGGTTATATTTCATCATAAACATTTATTTTTTATGTTTTTTCCGAAGAAAAGAGGAATAGATAGTGACATAAAGATTGTTATTTTTTTTTTCTAAAAAAAAAGTACTTGTTTTCTCTATTTTTCTCTATTGTCGTTCTTTTTATCCTATATATATTTTTATTATATATTTTTATTATATATCTTTATTATAGATATTTTATTATATATTTTTTATTATATATATTATTATTATATATATTTATATTTATTATATATAACGTTTTATTATATATATTTTTTAATATGCGCATGGTAATTTCCCCCACACAAATTTTATTTATATTTTTTATTTATTTATTTTTATGTGAATTTAAAAATAAATAATCATGTAAAATAAAATATGATAAAATAATCTAATTATTCATTAAATGCCTAAATACATAAAATCTTCATGGCCCGAGTTGCAAATGCATTGAAAAATTCCAGATATAATGTCATAATTACGTGTATCCGTATATTTTTTTTGTATTGTAAAAGCTAGGAGTAATGTAAAAGTATCAAAAATATCATCATTCTCTATCATTTATTCTTTTATGAAATTGATGACCATTGAATTACATAATGAAAACTACAACTAAGTGTTTCAAGATTGTCTTAAATACAGTATATACGAATTTTTTTTTAATTACACGATTAAAAGTTAAACAGGTTATGCTTGTATAACGTAATGGTTACATGCATATATGTTGTCTCGTATATTTATACTGTACATTTCCTCCAAAATATATTCTGATAATACATTAAAACATGAAACACGTTTTATACCCCCTCATATAAGATTAGAATACATATTATAAACCCTGACATATAAAAAATAATTTTTTTTTTTCCAACGGGATAATGCCATATTAAACTTTATTGATTATCTGTTATTTTTTAATAGTGGCAAATACATAATATATAGTTCAAAATAAAAAATTTTTTTTTTGATATTAATGTAAATGACGTGAACGTGCAGTGTGGAAGAATTATAATTAGAATATATCAAATATTTTTATTTAGAGAATATATTCGATTAAAGTACTATTTCCTAAATTATAAAGTCAATCCAATACGAATATCTATGGAGTTTAAAAAAATCTAGACATACTGATGCACTTTAAATTTCTGAACTTGGGATATAAAAGTTTTCTACAATTATTAGTGACACAGGTTCTTTCACATAATACAATTATGGAAAGAAGTTATTTTTGGCTGATAAAATACTATATTATTTTTAATTTAACAAAATTAACATTTAATTTTAGATAAACATACTGATGAATTTGTATTACATAAAGTATTGCAACATTAGAATTACACTTTTTTGGGTTGGCGCGCTTAGGTGTTTTTTTTTTACCCATCGGGGCATGTTAAAATGCCTTATTAATATATTAAATTTAATTAAATACATTTATTGTGCTATTCTAACCACCTACACTAACTATTGTTAACTAGCCGTGGGTCTGCCCTTTGATGAGTAATCTGGGCAGTAAGCCCTTCAGTTATATTCAATCAATTTTTGATTTAAATTCTGTTATTATAATGATTCACATAAACGCCTTTTTGCCTCACTAGACAGACTCATTTTATCAGCAGAGTTGTGTATTTTATATATTATTTTGTATATACTGTATGCATTATTTATATTTGATTTGACAAAAAGTATATATAATATTATTTTATAATTACAATAATTAGTGGATAATCTTTAAAATAAAATTAATTATTCCAGAAATTTACAGCCAAGATGTTTCCATCAAAAAATACAAATTTTATTGAAGTAATTCTTATATACAAAAGCAACTATTGCTTATATATTCATAGAACCAGAAAAATGTGTGATTGAGGTAGTTGTAGGCCAGAAGAATGCTATGTTTACTAGAAATCTCCCGTACATACTCTTTGTAGAGATTGTGATACGTTAACTATTTCCATTCATAATGCATGTGATAAACACGTAGGTAAGTATCAAAGTAGAAAGAATTATCGCAGAAAAAAGGAAGATGAATTAACGTGAAAAAATTGCTATATTTGAGAATTATATATCCGATTTACCTGATTATGAATACGAATTTTAGTAAGTGGACAGTTGCAAAATTGAAAGTTATTAATTATTGATATTAGCATTAGATTTTATTTTTGTCCATATACTTTTATTGATGGACGCATTTGTGGAAAAGGTTGCTATTTGTCAAGAAGGTTATACTCTTCATTGAAAAATACCACTGCATACTCCATGTGGTGAATGTCAATTACTTTTTCATATGGCATGTGTATGAAAAATTCAAGAAAATATTGTAGAAGAGTCAATTATCATCAAAAAAAGCAAGCCAAATTACTCAAAAAATATAATCATGAGAATGGATATATAAAATTACCTGGACCTGAAGAATTAGAGATATGAGTTGGAGGAATAGATAATATAACTGAGACACTTATCTCTATATTAATCTGAACATGATATTTTGTCGCAGTTTCTGAAGTCATCTCATTTATAATAAGTTATATTTGAGTATCATATGCTTGATATGTATTAATTATTGTTTTCAGGATATCTTTAAGCAAAGATATATTCTCCTTGATGCCTTTAATATTTTTTGGTTATTTTGTTATATAGAGTTATGGATTCTAAAACTTTTAATCTATTCTGTGACTTACTCATGTTTATTTTTCAATAGAATTGTATTAATCACGATCCATTCAATTTTTGGATATAAAGTCTAGTATCTTTGACACATAATAAATTTTGAATTGAAAAAAAAAATTCCACATTATCATGTTGAGAATTATAACAAGTTACATAAATCACTATAACTTAACTCCTCAAATAAGTATAACTGAACTTAGTAATTATACTGAGAATTTGGTTAAACAGTTGAAAGATGTGAAGACCTGTGATTAAACACGAAATTGAATTCAAAACTCAGGATTTAGTAAAGATTAAACAAATGCTTTAATTTCTAATCAAACTTCTGGAAGATGTTTTAGGATTCGAGACCTAGTTAAAAAACTGCTTTATATATTAAAGGAAATGAAACCAATATTGAACCTGAAGAAATAAACGAATTGGCTTATAACTTGATAAAAGCTGGACACACTGTTATAGCTCAATCTTCACTTCTTAAATTGCACTAAAAAGAATTACGTCAACTTAATACCAATTATGTTATATTAGAAGCTATATATGTTTCAGATATTACCCAAGTATCAAATAAAGAACAAAAAATGAGACAAGAACATTGTGAAGATGAAGGATTTGATTGTCCCGATTTCTTTACTTTAAAAAAAGTACAGTTACGGTTACAGTTACACTGCCATCTCCTTATTATCGCTCTTTGCAAAATTATGCGGTCATGTGAAAATTTGATAATATAATTGATAGGTATTCGAATACCAAAT